TTTCATCATACATCATTAGGGTTAACATAGTACATTTGTGCAACTTTGAGGCGTAATTCCTCCACAACAGCAACAAAATGAAGATGTAACTTTGTAGAGAAAGGTCATAGCTTCAAAATTACATCTTGTTTTTTGGTCATGCATTTCCATTTTTGGAGGAATTAAAGGACCTGCAAGACCAATAAAGGTTGTAGGGACTAAATGTCCTGCACTGTACATAGTTGAATCTTAGCATATGGCCATGTAAACCATACTGCAAAGTCTTTATCTGTCAAGAAGAACCTGAATTGCAGTCCTCGATCTCGGAAGGTAGTAAGAAACATTTGCAGTTTGCTCGTTTGTATTCCTTCATATTATTCTCAAGGAATAGATTGGATGGTGAGATTCCGGTGCCATTTACTTCTGCATAAGGCTCAGAACAGATCCTATTTAAAATTGCAATCTGTTTTGAACAAAATCAGATCATATCAGATCTGGTAATAAAAAGCAAATGATTATTCACATTATAATATATACATATGGAATCAATTCAAAATTCATAATGTAATTCATAATTTATAAGTAATTTCTTAATTCATAGGATTTTTTTTTTAAAATTTTATAAAGTCTTAATTTCCTCAATTCATGAAATTGTTTTTTAAAAATAGTTTCTTCCATAAATAATAAACTTTATTATTATTATTATTATTATTATTATACATACATACGATATTTCGAATAAGATTTCTTTCAAATCTGGTCTAATATGATCCTTATTTCTGCATGTAAAACGACGAAAGAATAAACCCTTGACGAAAGTCAAAACTCTTGACGAAAGTCAAATCATTCAAAAATTATTGAGAAAAACAAAAAATTAGAAAATCAGATTTAAAATAAATTTTTTTTATAGGTTTTGTCATTTTCTAATATTGAATTAATTTATTATTGAAATTAGATATTTTGGTATCAAGAAATTTTCCAGATAAAACACTCCTAGATGGTGGTTGATATGCAGGACAGAATTGTTGAAGAAGATCTATAAAGTATGGATTACTGACAACTGAAAAAGAAATTCCACAGCAAACAAATGCTTTGATTAATGCCCAGTTAAATAGAATCATTGCGTTTTTTTGTCAACAATGTGCTTTCATAAAAATTTGAAATTGGCTGTTGAGTTATTGATGATTCTAAATTTTCATTGTTATTATCATCATTTATTTGCCTTAGACATTCTTTTCTAATTTCATGAGTACAGCCAGGACAATGATTTGTTAAATGTGATAACAGATTTTTTGG